GAATGCTGGCTGGGGAATTCTGGGAGTTGAAATCCGGACATCTTCAAGTGTCCAAGGTTGAGAAACACTGCTTTAGATGTTTTTGGAGAGAGTTGAACTTTCCTTGGATCTTCCATATCTGTGCACACAGTATTTTCTGTTTGATGACACAGTTGCCTAATGTGCGATGACAAATGGTTCTTTGATACTGCTGGCTATAATATGTAGATTGTGTCAATAGCTCAAATGTTAGTGTTAGTGAGTTCTGTACCTCCTGATGACATATTTACTTCAATTAACATTTAAAATAATGTTTCTATTGCCTAATACTCTCCTGTGGGAGAACCGGGCTTTTATTGGTGTGGAAGCGAGAGCACAATTAAAATCATTTTAGCTTCTACCTAAGGAATTGTTGTTCACATTTCTGGTATACAGCCAGATAGAATGGGTGTGAGCTAAAACTGTGTCAGCAATTTCAACAGTCAATCATTAAATGTAGTAGAATTCTGCCTGTAAAATGTATTAGCGTTTTTCAAAAGGTGTATTTTCTTTCATTGGAATAATCTCCTTTGCTTGGAGAAATCAGTGTAAACTCTCAGGATGATTGAAATTGTATTAATATACTATGTATTTTTCTGAATTCACCTTGATTGTATGCCTGCGGTAGAAAAAAGTAATGTAATGTTATTTGAATTGAAGCCTCTACATTATGATATGTACGGTATGTGTGGTTTTTGCATTTTAAAGCCCTCATGTGATGTGCTTGATTTTGCTGAGAGTTTCATATCTCAGTCACAAAGCATACTGGAGAATATTGGTCTATAACTTTTGTAATAGCTTTGTTGTAAGGATTAAAGGGGAAGTATTATATGTGTTTCCCTTGAATGAAATATAGGATATAGCATAATTAAAAAACATAGTTATTAGATTTAAGTATAAAGAGGTTTTGTACTCAAAACTACATGGCATTCAGACAGATCATTTTTCTTTTGTGATGCCCAGTAATTCCATTAAATTTAAAGTTAAAAAAAAAGCATGCGTTCAATTACAACCTTAATATGAAAGCACATTTTGAACCTAAAATTCATAGCTTTTAAAAATTCTGTGCAGTTGGGCCACACAAATCTTCCCTCAAAGCGGGAAGTCAAATACAAGCGGTTTTAGGACTTCAAAATGGCTTGCTGGATGGGGAATTTTAGGAACTAAAGTCTCCAGATACGTAATTGGAGAGCATCTTGATTGGAGATAGTTACAAAACATGTATTTCTCTAAAATAGTATTACTACCAATAAAAATTCCATCTCCTCATCCCAAGTACTTGGGAAGGAGTTCATAAGTGGATAAAAATGTCAAATATAGTCTGAATATCTGACTGATTGTGTGAACAACATAATTCTGGATGAGATGTGATGAGATACAGTAATTCATTCTCTCAATAGCTATGAATCAGTAATGGTTTATATTTGATTTCATCAGCATCAGTAGAAATGATTCAGGTCAAGCCTGAAACCTAGCCATCATTTTTTGCAAAGTGCTTTCAGACCCAGAAGGTAAAATTTATATGCTAAACGGAGATTCTCATAGCCAGTTCACTGGGTGGACTTTTAAAGCATTCCTGCAGACATTTTATCAAAAACGGAGGACTGTGTATAGAATTTCCACTTTTAGTGCATTTGCAACTCTTCTGATTGTAGAACCCTTGATTTTGTGCAATTAAACAGGGCAAAATATTTTCCCCAAACTATTAGAAGCAGTTAGGGGAATTTATAATGATAGCAGTCCCAAACATGCCTGTACACATTAGCGTTTGCTTTTCTTCCACAAACAAAGATTAAGTATTTAACAAGGCTGTTGTGGTTTGGTAGGTTGTGTTAGTTTCAAAAGTGGGTCAATGCAGAAGTGATCAGGTTTATTTATTTTTTATTTTTTGCCAAGACTACATTTGTGTAGCTGAAATATTCAGTTACTCTCAAAGCTATTCTAAGCCATAAACTCCGGGGATCCTCCAATTTTCTGCTGAGGGTTATCTTTAGACCATGCTGGAAAAAACGTGAGTTCCTTGGTGCTGAACTTTTAAAGCTGTATAGCAGTGAAATGGCCCTTCTTCCCATGAATGAGTATAGAAACATATGTGTGCTTATTTATATGGATTAAAGAGTTTAGAAAAGTGGATGTGGAAAAAGACAGAGCAAAGGGACAAGGGCATGAAGAGTTTCTTCTTGGTGGTTATTCCATGAGTTATGCTTTTTAAGACAAGGCTTATCTCCTTGGCCAGAGCTTGGTGGTCATGGAAGTTAAAAGGATGTTGACTCAGCAATAAAAAGGAATGAATTCTTAGATGGTCAAAGCTAGAAATTAAATTGAAGACAACTAGTGCTCGAGTTCCCCACATCCTAAATCAGTATTTATTCTTATATAAGAATTAGGTTTGGATACCCCCTCCCCGAAGAGTACAGAAGGTAGAAATAAATGGCCTTTCTACTTATTATACGGTAATTCAGGCAATCCTTGACTTACGACCACAATTGAGCCCAAAATTTCTGTTGTTATGTGAGACATTTGTTAAGTAAACTTTTCCTCCATTTTACGACCTTTCTTGTCACAGTTGTTAAGTAAAACATTCCAGTTGATAAGTTATTAATCTGGTTGTTAAGTGAATCTGGCTATCCCCATTGGCTTTTTTTGTCAGAAGGTTGTAAAAGGGCGTGACCCGTCAAAACCGCGCTCGACTAAACCGCGCCCGATTAAACCGCATCGCTGATGTCATCAACAGGGCGACAACAGCCAG